TTATTTCTTTAATTGCTGGATATGAATATTTTTTAAAAAAATAAAGAAATATAATATTTTATACTAAAAAATTCATCTACAAGTCTAAAATTATTTCAAAACTGAAGTTTGTAAAAGGCATGGTAAGGGCCCAATGAGATGGCTCAGTGGGCAAAGGTACGTGCCACCAGGTCTGACAACCTGAGTTAGAGTCCCAGGCCTCACGTGGTGGGAGAGGAGAGAACCTACTCCTTCAAGTAATTCTGACTGCCATACCATAGGCATCAACATGTACACACATGGAGTAAATAAACAATTTAAAATGTTAATATGTTAAATAAAACCAGGTGTGGTGGCACACACCTTCAATTCCAACACCCTGGAGGCGGAGGTAAACGGATCTCTCTGAGTTTGAAGCCAGCCTAGTCTGCAGAGCAAGTTCCTGGTCAGCCAAGGATTGACACATTGATACTCTGTCTCAAAAATTCTTCAAACTAGGCTTTAAATAAAAGGTGCCAGTTTTAAGTACCCAAACTATAATGCCTTATTCTTTTTAATTTTTTCCTATTGATGTATTCACTTACTTGTCTGGGTTATACATTGTATGTGTTGGCACACATATCTCACGGCATACGTACACACAGGTGTGGAACTGGGTTCCTCTGTCTACCATGTGTCCTCAGGCTTGGTGGCAAGCACCTTTACAGCTGAGCTACCTCTCCAGACCCTTTGAAAATAAATTTCAGAGCAAAACCAAGAGTTTAAGTTACGTAGCATGGAGCGCCGAAGTTGGGGGACACTGCCACGTTACTGTGCTATAGGGATGTCACAGAACTGAAGGCGCACAGCAAGCGCACTGTTACCCCAGACCTAAGCGCAAAGGCAAACAGTGAGGCCATTACCTCTGGGCTGAAATGAAGCTACAAATCTTAACAAGCAGATCTTTGTGCTTCTCCTAAAACCACACTGAGCCTTCCTAGCCAGTATTACAAGCAGCTGTTTGGGGATTTTTGGAGGGTTTTTGTTGTTACTTGTTACCTCAGCCAGGGTCTGAGGTAACATAGAATGACCTTGAACTGGATATACAACCAAAGAACTTCTGGAATTCCTGAAAGAGACTCTTCTGCAGGAAAATACTTTGTAGTAGGTAGGGCAGTATATTTCAGAAAGATTTCCATTGATTCCCTAGTATTAGTTCAGATAAGTTAGGTTATTTATACTTTGGTTAAGGAAAAATCCTAGGGCCAGAGAGATGATGATTCAGTAGGTAAAAGTGTTTGCTGCTAAGACTCATCGATCTGATTTTAATCCCAGAGACTTAAGGATCTACATAGCAGGAGAACCTACTCCAGATAAGCTGGTCTCAGACCCTGTGGCACATGTTTTGTGTAAGCGCACGTGCGTACACACACACAAATTTCTTTCTTTTTTTTTTTTGGATTTTCGAGACAGTTTCTCCGTAGCTTTTGGTTCCTGTCCTAGAACTAGCTCTTGTAGACCAGGCTGGCCTCGAACTCACAGAGATCAGCCTGCCTCTGCCTCCCGAGTGCTGGGATTAAAGGCGTGCGCCACCACCGCCCGGCACAAATTTCTTTAAAAATTTTTGAAGACAGGCAATGGTGGCTCATGTCTTTGATCCCAGTACTGGAGAGGCAGAGGCAGGTGGATCTCTGTGAGTTCAAGGCCAGCCTGGTCCACAAAGTAAGTTCCAGGGACAGCCAGGACGGTTAAACAGGAAAAACCCTGTCTCAAAAATAAAAAAACCACCCACCACAATTTTATTTTTATTTGAGAGAAGGTCTCATTATTCAGCCCTCGCTGGTCTGAAAAAGATATGTAGACCAGGCTAGTCCCAAACTCACAGGCATCTGCCTCTGCCTCCCAAATGCTGGAATTAAAGGAGTATATCAACCACTGGAGAGCAAAAAAACTTTTTATTCAGGCTGGAGAGATGGCGCAGCAGTAAACAACACTTGATACTCTTGCAGGACTTCGGTTTGATTCTCAGCACCAACATGGTGGTTCACAACCATCTGTAACTCAAGTTTCAGGAGATCCCATGACCTTTTTTGACCTCTGCAGGCACCAAGCATGCACATGGCGCATGGACATACACACAGGCAAAACAGTAACACATAAAATGAAATTTTAAAAAAATACAAATAAAAATTTTAAAAAATATTTTTTTTTTTTACTTCAAAACCCCCAGAGACATTTAACTTCTTTCTCTTGTTCACTCTAGGTTCTAGAGTGATGGAGGGGCAACCATGTGGTGCAGTAACAGCCACCACAGCAGGAGGAACAAGAGTGACAAGTCACACTGCCGAAGCTTTTACTGAACAGGACTACAGTGTGATTCTTATGCACATTTTATGAACCAAGAGCCAAGAGCAACTCACAAGGGAAAGTGACTCTACTTCTACATGCTTGGGAGACAGAAACCGAAATTACCCAATAGATGACAATCAGAACCTGAGAAAGGAGTCTCTAATTCTGAGGACAGTGCTTTCACTTCTGATCTCCATTCTTTATCCGTGAGAATGGACTCCCTTACTCCATGCACTTGCACTATCTACAGTCTCCAGGAATGTAACTTCACTAGTTAAGCCTGCCTCTTTCATCACTGGAGAAAGAGAGAGCAACAAAGAAACCAAACTCCAAGAAAGAAACCAAATGTAGCTGACAACAAAGTGCTGGGCTGAAACCTGACATGAACCTTCAAATGGCAACGTGAGGGGAAAGCCAGAAATACTGCCAAAGGTCTGAAATCTCAGCACTTGGGAGGCTGGGGCAGGAGGATCAACCAAGTTCAAAGCCAGCCTGAACTGCAGAATGAGACTTAATTCAAAACCACTAGGGAAAATAAGGCAAGACCTGGATAGTAAGAAAGGCATGCTCAACTACAGGGAGGTGGAGAAATGAGGGGACCTTTTACCAAAATTCCTTTGCTGTTAAACCTTGCACGGTCTAAAGCCAAGTTTTAGTCAAACCATTTTATGCAAAATTCAGGGTTTAGACACGACTAATAAAGTCATCCAACATATATGTCTTCATTTTAAAATATGTACGGATGTCTGTATGTTCGTCTGTGTGAGTGTATGCTGCCCGTGTGCCAGTGCCTGAAGAAGTCAGAAGAGGGCACTGGATACTCCCAGCTCTCTATAGATCTTAACGTAAAAATACTATCTTCAAGACAGTAAAGAGCTCCCAGCACTGGGGAGGTAGAGGCAGCCTTGTCTACATAGTGAGTTCTAGGCCATCCAAGGTTACTTATTGAGAATCTGTCTCAAAAAACCAAAGGGAAACTAAGAAAAAGAGAAAAAAGAAACTAAGGAGCCAGAGCAGACTCAGTAAGGAAAAGTGCTTCCTGTGCAGGACTGAGGACTTGAGTTCAATCTCCAGATCCACTGTGTATGGAGAAGAAATCACCCTCTTGACCTCCATACATGTGCCATGGGACCAACGTGCCTGCCCCCCACAAAGCCACTACTAATAAATAATAAAAAAATTAAAAAGAAAGTAAATAGGCCAGGTGTGGTACATACTCCCAGCACTCTGTGGAGACAGGCAGGGAAATTACCACAAGTGCAAGGCTAGCTCAGTCAACACAGCAAGTTCTAAGCTAGCCAGTGAAGACCCTGTCTCAGAAAAAAAAGAGAAGCAAGCAGGTAGGTCGCATTTATTCTAGAAATAGATTTTTTTGCTTTTCCACTCTCAAGTCTCAAAATATTCAAATGAAAAGCCAGCAAAAGAACTCGGTGGGTAAAGGCGTTTGCCACCGAGAATGCTAACACAAACCGGATCCGAGACCAGCTCGGTGGAGAGATTCAACTCCCCAAAGTTGTCCGGCCACCACAGGTGCTCTGTGACACAGACACAGAACTTTTGTTAAGCAAATAAAAGTGTGAAGCTGGAGAGGTGGCCCAGCAGTTAAGAGCATCTACTGTTCTTGTAGAGGGGCTGAGATGAGGTCTCAGCACCCGTGTCAGACATCTTACAACTGCCTGTACCTCCAGATCCAGGGGATCCAGCGCCTTTCTGGACTCACCGGGAAGCTGCACTCATCTGCACATTCCCACATACAAACACGGTACATTCACACTTGAATCCAAACTGAAGTATTTTAAAGTGCAACTATTTTTAAAATTCAAGTAAAGATTACTGAGCTTGTCATGGGGATACAGTTCAGAGGGAGAGCACAAGACCCCAAGTTTCATCTCCAGCACCACACCAAACAACTGTGGCACGGACAACTGTGGCGCGTGAACACTCGCAGACAGGCACCCACTCCTGCAGAAAGCCTAGATTATCGGGTGGCTGCTCCAAGTTCTGAAGCATCCTGTTCAATATTCGTACACCGTTCAAATACGTTCCAACAGTGGTACTCTCGGGCAGAAGCACTGAGAGAGACTGGAGGCCGTTTCCACAAGCGGCTAACCACTACACACTGTAAAGTGCAGAAAGACTTCCTGAGGGGCAGAGGAATGCACACAGTGTCAGAGTGGAAGCAGAGCAGGACTCCTAAACACATTGTTTCATTACTATCTAATCACGTCGTTCTTCTTCCACATCTTAGTCATCCAGTAAACACACTGCCAGAACGTGTAAAGGAATCCTGGGAAATGAAAGAGGAGAATTAGTTTGGGGGCTGGCAGAATGGCTCCTTAGGTAAAGGCACTTGCTGCCAAGCCTGACCGAGTCCAATCCTGGTGACCCGCATAGGAGAGAGAGGAGGGAAGATTCCAGGCAAGGAGTCCTCTAACTTTCATACTCTCACTGTGGCGTGCACACGGGCAGGCAGACAGACACAGAATAATTAAATACATTTAATTTAAAAATCCAGAAAGAAGCCAGGCAAGGTGGCTCATGTCCATCACTCCAGCACCGAGAAGCAGGTGGGTCTGAATTCAAGACTCTGTCTCAAAGATAAATAAAAATAGTTTTTGACTCTTCACAGATTTGATCCAACTAAAACAAACAACACCCCCTAGGTAAAAATAAATAAAAATAAAACCCAACAAAACTCTACAGAAAACAAGGCTGAATGTGATACATGCAATGTCCTGGAATTTGCCCCTCAACACTGGAGGCTCATACATTCACACATACACACATAAATACCCAAACAAGAGCATAGAAAAAGCAGTCCAGGCATGGTGGCACAGCCTTTGATGCCAGCATTCAGGAAGCAGAGGCAGGTGAGTCTCTTTGAGTTCAAAGCCAGCCTGGTCTACAGAGTTAGGGCCTGCCTCAATTAAAAAAAAAAAAAAAAAAAAACAGAATACAGGAAAAGCCATTCTAATGTATTAGTTGACAGCCCCCTTTCAAAGGAACAATAACATATTTGCTTTGCCGAATGGCTGCAAGTAAGCAAACAAAAAAGCCTCTTCTGGTTTAATGACAGGTTAGCAGTGCTCAAACCTCAGAGACTCTCCCTTCCCTTTTTTATAGGATCCTTCTGCAACATCTCCATCACTCCAACCAGCTTGGTCACAAACAATGCCCAGACTATCAAGGTCAGCCCCAAAGACAGAGAGCACAAATCGGAAACAGACCTTCCTTACAGAAAAGGGTAGGACGGCCCTCCCTAATTATCTATTCCCCTCCCCGTGCACCGACACTCGTGGGGCACTCCTGGATTCTAACAGGGACCTGCTGTCAGCTCTTTTTGGGATCTCGGGCCCTCTCTCCCTATCCATCCAGGTCGCCCCCTTACGCCCCCAATGACCTTCACATCCCGGCAACGGGCGGGGGGGGGCGGGAGGAGGGAGAACTGGGTGCAAGGGCCAGGGAAACGTGAGGGGAGGCCTGCCGATGTGCATGTAGGGGGCCAGAAACACTAAACCGAGCTACGGTCTGGGGCAAAGGCTCTGGACACCTAGGAGCGCAGGGGTTCGTGCGGTTTCTAGGGGAGCCACTCGCGTTGAAGACAGGGCCTCTAGCGGTGGGTTGTCTGTGTGGAAACCAGTCCGTGGGAAGGGGATGTCACAATAGGGTCTTCCCGGGAACCGCGGTGGGTTGTCGAGCTTCACCCACAGCACTGTCCCCCCGGAAGGACGGCGTCCCCAGGCAAACGTTCTTCGGGGAGCCGTTTCAAACAATCCTCCGCAAGGAAGCCATATCAGACCACGCCCTGCCGCCCGAGGCGTAGCCGCCCCACCGCGCATCCCGGGCCACCCTTTGGCGGCCTCGACCCCGGCGTACCTGACGAAGGCCGCCCCACGGCCAGAGGTGCCAGCGAAGCGCGCGCGGGGCAGCCCCGGCTGCTGTGTGGCGAACGAGTCCATGGAGGCTGGAGGTGGAGGACCACGGGGCCGCGGAGGGTCGCTGGGGCCGGGCACCGCAGCGGGCCAGCGGCAGGGCGGAGCGAGGGCGCGCCGAGGGGGCGGGGCAGGCGCGCGCGGGCACGTGGGGGCGGGGCGGGAGCGCGCGCAGCGGGGGCGTCAGAGAGCTCGGGGCCGGGCGCTAGACCGTGCGGCTTCTGGTCCGGACCGATTCGGGGCGCCCCGGTTCCAGGACAACACACCGCCCGACCCTAAGGTCTCACAGCGTCGTGGGGATTCGGTGGGGGACCGCAGCCCGGGGAGGGGACTCGAGTCAGCTCCGCCCCCCTCGCCCCGGCGGTGCTGGGGTACTTCAGGTCTGTACCTGGCATTTCATCCCTGGGTCTCCTGGACAGCTAGCTACCTGTCTACAGTTGCCTGCTTCTCAACAGTTGCACACCCACCCATGAAATATTCGGTCCCTTAGTGATGCGTCCTGTTCAGGGCACCGGCATCAGAGGGCTCTCAGTATCCCAGGAGACCTCCCCTTGCAGTTCAGATCCGCATTAGAATTGTTTCCAGCTGCAGTCGGTGGGCCAGAAAAATCTCACAGAGCCTCGTCCCTTCCTGCATAAAGTGGAGGGTTGCCCACGTCCTTTATTTACAAGGCCTATTTAATGATTACGTCCAGCACCACATATTGACCTTGTCAAGATGCCCTATGTGTCCTAAGTTCATCTTGTCATAGCAAATTTTAACAACCCGGGACTTTTTCCTGCCACAATAACGGGCGTCTGAATCAGTTATAAACAGTGCTGGCTGAAAAAACACTCCTTCCGCTCATAAAGATTTTAACAATCCCTAAGGTGTCTCCTGCAGGTTTAACGGAAAGAAGAGCAAAAGAAGAGGGAAATAAAAATGTTTCTTTTTATATTCATGAAAGGAAAATAAAAATTTGCCCCCGGACCCAAGCCGTGAACGTGTAACCATTGTTTAGAGGTAACCAACACAGTCTGTGAAAACCAGCCAATCAGAGACAGCCTCTCTTCAGGGGCTTCCAAACCAGCCAGTTATGAACAGCTTCTGAAAGCCAAATAATCTTTGACAGTAGCCCAATCAGCAGCTCAATGACTGGGCTTCGGAAAGAAAGAGCGGTTTCTCAGCCGCTTTGTTCGCAGACCACAGTTGTTAACAGCCATTAGTCTGTAAATTGCTAAACGGTCAATTTATTGAAACACCACAGGCCTCTACAGACCCAATCGCTATCTATGTCTCTGGCTTTGTTCGGAGTCTGCTTTGAGAATGCAGCTTTCATTTGCAAGCAAATGTGATATTTACCTCCCCCTCTCCCCTTTGATAGGTTTTTCTGTAGCCTAGGCTGGTCTCGAACCCCTGATCCTCTCGCTTCAGCCTTCTGAATATATTACAGGTCTACATCTTCACGCCCAGCTGGAAGGCTCATACAGTTTGTAGCACAGACCAAAACTGTGTGCCATTGACGTTTGGCCAATGGCGTGGTGTGCATATATCACATCTTGCTTATTCGTTTATCAGGTAATTGAACAGTGGGTTGTTGCCACGTTTTCTCTACCTTGGCGTGAAGTCAGTATGAAGAGATGTCGACAAGATTTTGTGTAGACATGTTTTTAATTCTCTTGTATATGTAGAATACTCCTTGAAGTGGACTGCTTGATCACACAGAAGCTATGTGTAATTATTTGAGGCAGTTCTAAACTTATCAAAAAAAAAAAAAAAGCTGCACCATTTATATCCATATCACCAAGGTATGAGGGTTCCAATTCTTCCACATGTTTCCGGACATTTAATATCTTTTGGATTGTAGTCATCTTGCTGGATATGAGGTAGTGGTTGGTTAGTCATCTTTTCATGTGCTGTTGGAGAGACATAGTGTGAATAAGAATTCCTGCAAAGAATCTCTGTCTGCAAGACTGATTGAAAACTGCAGTCATGGGAAAGGTTGGGATGTTGCTGGTCCAGATGCTAATTACCTTATCTTGGTCTGCCTTTGGCCCCTGGGACGGCCATTTCTTGCCCAGTTTGTGTCAGAATTAACATACGGTGACTAAAAGGTCAAAAGCTTTGGAATCTATTGACTTAGCAGCCTACTAGTTTCCGCTAACCCCAAAGCTAAAATTGTCACCAGGCATGGTAGCACATACTTTTAATCCCAGCACTCTGGAGGCAGGGTCAGGCAGATCTATGAGTTCAAGACCAGCGTGGTCTACATAGTTTTCCAAGACAGACAGGACTATGCAGAGAGATGCTGTCTCAAAAGAAACAAAAATCCAAAACCCAAACCAAAAAAGCTGAGAATGTCATCAGATAGCATATTAGACCTAAAAAAAGCTCCCCATCTTGTTGTAACAGACTCTCTGATGTACCCACCAATGTATTTCAAACTTGCCTTGATTTCTTTTTTTCTGTAAAACTATAAAAACTTC